GAAACGTGAGTCCTCAGGGCAGCAGGAAGGCACACAAGGCTGGACCCAGCTCCTACATGTAGTCTGCAAGAAGCAGAAAGAACTGCTGCATCTGTACGACATCAGTGGGTGAAAGAACCTTTTCTCCAGCCTTGCAGCTGTTCTGCCCCTCTAAGCTGTTGGCACAGGAGCTAAGCCCTGATTTTAAAGACCAATACCAGCAGCTGGAAAACCTGTGGACCAACAGGGATAGAGGACAGCCATGAGGCCAGTGGATCACACTGGCAACAAATCTGGTACAGGATTAGAACCCCCACAGCTGGAGAGGTTTGGGTTCCACCTCTGCACAGTGGTGCTCCCCTGATCTGTGACCTGGGTTTCTCCAAGACCAGGGAGCTGAGGCAGGGGTAGGCACTGCAGCATCCACCTTCCCCTCCCAGCCTCCCACTGACTCCCTGGAGGGAATGGTGCTCATGGAGAGCCTAAACCTGGCTCAACAGAGAGCAGTAGGGTGTGAAAATCAAGGGCAGCTTGTTTTCTTCTTCTCTAAGGGCACATAATTCACTTTTTCCGGGACCCACTTGGGTGTTCCAGGTTGTCCAGCAGCAAACCAGGCAGGGCTCTGCAGCCCTTCAGGGGTACAGGTTGGCATCTCCCCTGCCAAGATGGGTGTGGGTCTGCACCCATGGATCTGCCAAAATGAAGCAGCAGAGAGGCTGGAACAGAGAGCACAGCAGGGCACTGAGTGGGCACAGTGTTACAGGCCAGACCAGAGCAGGGTTTGGCTTGTTCCCAGCCCTGCAGGGGCATCTCTGCTCAACTCCACAGCTCTGGAGAAAGCAAACCCAGTTCATGCCACTCCCACCCTGGCATGACCCAGCTGCCTCTGCACTGAGATGGGTGAGGATTGCTCACTCTGATTGCAGAGACCATTACTTGGATGGAGCAGCAAACAAGGAACACGGGATCACCCAAATCCAGCTTTTAATTAAAAAGGGGAGACAGAGCAGGCAATGATTTCCCTCCTAATTACCTCATCAGGCTGGGGCAGCTGTGCTGCTGCTGTGACACAGTCTGGCTGCACTGGTGTGGGGGTCTCTGCCTGCAGCTGGATTGCTGTAGGATTTCCAAGGAAGTACAGGAGAAAGGGGCTTGAAAAGCCATTATCACTGCTCCTGCACCTCCCAAAATAAAATTATCTTGACTAGGACCAGCTGAAACTATTTCCTACCATTGTAAGGTAGCTGCTGGCAGGAGGGGAGGGAGCTGGGAGCCAAGACAAAAACAAGAGGTTATGGCTCAAGAGGGATGTAGGCAGGAATTGCAGTCAGGGAGCATGGCTGTGGGACTGACAGAAAGCCACCAAATCCCAGTGCTCCCATTCTATGGCATCACTGATCACATGAACATCACCCTGGGCTGCAAGTGCAAGCCCACACCTGTCCCAGCAGGCTGCATGTTCCTCTTTAAAAAACAGGACCCTCAGCAGCAGCACTTGCGCCAACTCCTACTGCTTGCTGTGCTCTGTCAGAAAGACTATCCAAGAGTGGGTTCCACAGGAGCTCTGGAAATAGAACAAGTTTGTAACACAGGTAAGTGCTGCAGGAGGAGGAAATTTTGGGGTTTCTACACCTAGCCAGTTGCAGATGCAGGAGGGTGGCACAAGGACTCAGAGGGTGCCTCGCTCTGTCTCTGTAGTGAGGCGGTGTCATGCTCCCTGACCAGGAGAGTGTTTGATACCCCATGGCATGTGCTTGCTGACCTGTCCCCTGGAGCTGCATCCTTCAGTGGCTTTGGTCTCTTAGAGCAGAAGCTCTGACATGTCAGCCCTGTCCACGGAGAGGTTTCAGAGAGCACCAGGCACAGGATCTGCTGAAGAAGGGAAACTGAGGCAGTGACAGGGGTCGTGCCAGGCTGCTGTGTGACATGGTGATGATGGGGTTGCTCTGAGAGCTGCTGTAATACAATTCCCAGACTCACATGTGTTCCAGCTGGTGGATCTTCCATGCTAGGGAGCCATGTGAAGGGCTGGGGAGAGTTCTGAGCACTGAAAAATCCCTCCCAGCCCTGGTCCTGCAGGAGGAGTGATCCCTGAGCTGAGGCCACACTCAAAGGGCATCTGTGGGACACAGCTTTCCCCTCACAGGCTAAGAAAGTCACCAGCACTGAGGCAAAGCTCACTGCAAACCAGCTCATCTCCTGCAGCCTTGTTACCATGTGCATTGTAATGAGGGAGCAAGCAGAGGGCATGGACAGGGACGTCACCACTGTGCAGGACAGAAATAGTGCATGCCACCAGCCAGGGCACCCCTGTCCTCCATGAAACACAGCTCTCTCAGGCTTGCCAGCTGTAGGACATTGGTTACAGTCCTGTAACTCCCCTCCCAACATCTGTTTGCCCTATTCCCAGTGCCCTCACCCCATCTCCCACTAGGCAAAATGCTCAAATATCTGTGGACACCCTGGATGCAGAGGCAGAGGAGCCAGTGATTCTGTCCCCTGTCCCACGGTTTTGGGTGAGTGGGGAGCTTGGGAAGAGAATCACAGCGCTGCTATGACCCCCAAGGGAGGCTTGATGCTCAGATCTCCAGCTGCATTTCCAGCACTAGATCCTGCCTAGTAACCCATTTCACCATGTCCCAGCAGCTGTGAAGGCAGATGCTGCCACATGGAATGGGTGTCTCTTCCCACTCCCTACTGTCTGTAGGGATTAACAATGCCCCCATTGCAAAATCCATTGAGCCAAGGTCAGCCCAAGCAGTTGATTGAGGTAGCAATGCAGGAGAATTACAGGAACACCATCAGCCATCCATCCCACTGCCTATCGGCCTGAGACAAACTGGTTGTCCAGCTCCAAAAGTTCTGCCAAGGTCCTAGTTGTCCTTCTGTGTCACAGAGAGCATATCTCCATGGGGTCTGGGGTCTGATAGTGCTGGCAGTGGGTCTGTTCAGCCCCTCTTTGCATCTTGTGTTCTCCTGCCACTGCCAAAGGGATGCTCTCTCAGTAGGTGTCCTTGTGGCTTTGCCACGGCCATCCATCTCTTTCCCTGGACTGAGACCATCCCTGTCCCAGGGATGTCTGCACATCCTGAGGGTTCTGACTTCCCCTGATAAATATCCCCTGGTAGTAAGTGCTGCCTGGGGAATACTCTCCTGGTGCCCCGTGGTCCTCAGGGACCTCTGTGACAGATCCTTAAGAAAGCCAGATTTACTCCCTGGACAGTTGTTTGTATGCATGGTCTCATCCAGTCATGCTTGGGACTCTACAACCCCTCAAATCCTGCTGGCATCCCTGAGCCAGACTGCATGTACCTTAGCATCTCGCCGATTTTGGGGCCACATCAGTGTTTCTTGTGCTGCTCTTGTATTTTCTGTTGTCATTGTGTGCTCTACTTACCAAGAACATGTTCCCTGGCCACACTGTTTGTTGTGCAGTAATCAGCCCTGTCCTTCACCCACTGCAGGTCCGGCAGCACCTTTTAATCCCCACGTGTTTACCTTTAGGATGTCCCTGTTGCTGAAGCAGCTTTTTTCAGCCCTGGACAGAGGGCAGAAAAGATGCTGTTCAGCCAGCACAGTCATCATTCTGCTGCTGCATCAAATCCCCGTGGGCCAGAATTAGGTGTGAGACTTTGCAGAAAACTAGTGATTGGCTTCAAATCCCTAAGTTTAGAAGATAAAACCAAGCAACAACAGGAATAAACAGAGAGCACTGGATTCCCCATAAATGTCTCTATGCCTGAGCCTCAGAAAGAAGTTTCTCAAGGTCATCTCCACAGAGAAACAGGAATATTTTCCTCAACTGACATGGGTCTGGCAATGAGAATTTTAGGGAATTGACCATGCAAGAGAGAGCGGTGTTTGCAGGCAGGGAGATCCACTGGAAATGACCAACTGAGATGGCAATGCCAGGGTACATGAATTTGTCTCAGAGGCTTATTTTGCCCCACGGCACTGGTGAAGGGCAATTGTTCCCCTCAGACCCCCTCCCACGGTCTGGGGAAGTTCCTGGGAAGGGTGGAGAAGCTTCAGTGACTCCTGGTTTGGTGGGCACTTCAACAGCTCTTGCAGGCTGGTGCCCTCCCACCACGCACAAGCTGGAGACCAAGCAAGCATGCAAGGGAAAACTCTTGGAGCATAGTAACACAGCCAAAAATAGAAGCTGTCATTGACACCCGTGTTTGTCAGCTTCATGCTGGGCTGCTGAGGACGTGCTTGCTTTTGGCAAGTTGTCCAGGAAGAGCTGCCATCCATCTGGGATACTGAACACTGACACAGGCTAAATAAGGAGGGGTACTTTGAAAGCAGCATATAATTAATGAAGGCGTGAAATGCCCTTGTCTGACTACGATCTGAGAGCACAGTGCTGGGGGCAACGCCACCCGGGCCCCTCCACGTGTGCTGCTGATCATAAATCCACGGCACTGTGGTCCTCACAGCGGGGGGATGCTTCAGCACAAAGCTCTCTGGAGACCCCCACTCCCGTGCGGCAGCAGCCTGCCATGCTGTGCCCACACCAAGCAGTACTCCAATCCTCCTGGGAGCAGGGAAACCCCATGAAGCCGCATCCCAGACTAAAACCATCTCATGAAAAACATGCCCCGACCTAAAAGCATCCCATTGAAAAACCTGGCCCGGCCCCAAATCATTCCATGAAAAGCACATCCCAGTCCCAAAGCATCTCATGAAAACCCCATCCCGACTCAAAAGCATCCCGGCACAGCCCTGCCAAACCCCGATCCCCACAGCCCCTGGGGCACCCGAATCCCCACGCAGCCCCGGGCATCCCCCGCAGGTCCGGCCCCCGGCGCGCCCGGAGCTGCCCCTCCCGGGCCGAACTACATCTCCCATCGGGGAGCGCCGGTCCGTGGGCCGGTCCGGGGCGGGAGCCGGGGCGGGGCGGGCAGCGCCCAACCCCGGAACCGCGCTCAGCCCCGAGCCCGGAGCCCCCGGAGCGGCGGAGCCGGCCATGGCCCCGCGGTGCCGGTGAGTGCGCGGCTCCGGGGCTGCGCTCGGGGCGGGGGGCGCAGCCCGGCTCGGGTGGCGCGGGCGGGGGCGGGCGAGGGGTGCCCGTCCCGCAGACCCTGGGCTGCGGCATCGGCGATGGCTCGGGAAGGCCCGCGGGGAGCGGGGTGAAGGTGCTGAGCTTTGCCCGGGGCTCGGGGAGCGAGCTCTGCGCACCCCGCCGTGCAGGGACCGCAGGGTTCTCTGCTGGGGGGGAGTCTGGCTGTCCAGAGAAGATGAACGGAGCCGGGAGACACTTCCCCGGCACCACTTGCAAAGTGTAACTTCAACTTTTGCCGCTTGATAAGATGCTTGGCAGTGGAAACTTTGCAGATGGGTATAGGCAGTTCATTGTGCTCTGTGCTGGGTTGGGTTTGGACTGGGTCTTGGGACAGCTCCGCTATCACTGGCCATGGTAAGGAGCAGCCAAAGCTGTTAGAAAGCACAAATGCTTCTTCTCCTTTTCCTCCCTTACCACCTTGGGATACCCATGATGTCCAAGGGGCAAATGCCTGGCACAGCAGACACCTACAGCCCAGTGGAGAGTGACACTTGAGAGTTGTGTCTGCGTGGCTGGATCTGCACATGGAAGAGCTGCAAAGGAGCACTTAAAGGGATTGGTGACTGCGTTTGGGCCAAGGTTGTCCAGCATCACTGACTGGTGGATATGGATGTAAATTCCAGGACTTGCGTCAACAGCCCAGCATCATGAGCCATCCATGGCTCTCTGGAGCTGCCAGTGCCTGGAGTTTCATGGTGACTCGATGGCTGGAAAATCAGCAGGGCTGTGCCAGAGGGATGTACTTAGGTTTCCATTTCTCCCCCATATCGTGTTGTAGGGACTGGATGTTGGGGTGGGCTCAGGTTTCAGCCTGCATCAGCGTTCGAAATGCTGAGCGCTCCCAAAGGGCTGAGTCAGCTCTTTGAAGAAAGAATCTGTGTGACCAAATGGGGCACTAGGTCCCACTTGTGGGGTGGGAGGACAGAGATGAGCAGTGAGATTGACACGCACTTTGGGGAGAGGCTGTTGGAGTGAAGGTGTGGTAGATGGCACACGTCTGGTACCAGCCAGAGATGGGCTGGGAGCCGACAGACAGTGGCAAAGACACCAAAATCTTCGTGGCTGCATATCTTAAATGGCAAAAGTGGCAAATGAAATAGGCTAATAGCACCAGTATTTGGTGTTCTGCTTTTGCCAGTGTTGGGCACAAGATCTGATGGCCCTGCAGGTGCTGAGGAGCTGATTGCTGGGCTCAGGGTTACTCCACAGACCACAATTTCAGAGCCAGGTTCCCTCCCTCCAGCTCCCCCAGAGCCCATGGGACTCCTCCAAGGTGCACAGAGACATGTTCTTAAAGGGAGAGTCGTGAAGCTTTCTCTCCCTCATGTCCAATGTGCTTTGATACAAGTGGTCCAGGAGGACTCACTTTGTTTTAAAGTCCCCACAAATCTTTGTGGCTCAGATACATTCAGGCTCCCTGATGTGCCTCCAGGCAGGGAAAAGCAAAAAAGCCTCTGGTCATGATTTAGTCATGAGACAAAAGCACTATGAGCTGTGTGCAGGGTTAAAGTGAAAACCCAGCCTATTAAACTCATCTTGGTAATTAGCATGGGGTGAAGAACAAAGAAAGAGGATATTGTAAAGGGGGAATTGTCAGGGGTGTTAAATATTAAGTTGTCTGCTGCCAGAATTGGATCCCAGTGGCTGCTTTGTATTCATGGTTGAACACTGGATGAGGTGACTAAGTGGGTTTGGAGCATCACTTGACACTGAAAACTTTAAAGGACAAAACCGGGCTGCAAAGTCACGATTCCTGTAATAAAGGTGAAAGTATTTAAGGCTGGGCAGAGCTAATGCCACAGCTTCAACTCCTCTTGCAGACAGAGTGAGGTGCTGGCAGTCTGTCTGCACTTTGCAGATGAGCTCTTTATTCACATGGCCACCTTGGATTTGGGGTTTATCCTCCAAGTGCCCAGTGCTGTTTAATCCTATCTTACAAATCAGCCAGCAGCTGTGGGGCAGCTTTTTTCTTTTCACACCAGTCAGCCTCATTACTCCTCTGGATCATGACTCTGCTTAAAATCACAGGATTTGGGGGAGAAAACAAAAACCACCCCAAGCCCTGTGTTGGATTTTGGGTTGGTCTTTTTCTGCGTTTTGCTTTCTGATGTGGCTCTCCTGTGAGTGCCGGGAGGGGGTGCGCCTTTGCCGGCCCTTCCCGCTCGCCGGGCAGGGCGGTGCGATGCCAGCCCGGATCCCTCTCCGGGAGCCGAAGGCGGTGGAAGCAGCGCCCGTGTGCGGCCGCTCCTCCTGGCCGGGCTCCGCTGGCCTCGGCACAGCCCGGCCGGGGGCTTGGCTGCTCTCGGGTCCCTCACGGTGCCCGAGGACACGGCGGTGCCGTGCTGCTCCCCTCCTCCTGCCCGCGGACACCGCTGCTCTCGGGGCGGCCAGCGCGGAGCACCGGAGCGCCATGGAGAGGATGCAGCTGCCGGGGACGTGGAGATGTAGCGGTGTTCCTTTCTTATGTGCTTAAAAAGACATCTGTGGTGGAGCCAGGCGGCAGGCAGGGATCCCCAGGAAGCCGTGGCCAGGTAAGCACTGGGGCACCATGCCCCGGAGGGATGAGGTGCCTCCAGCGTGAGCCTGGCTGTGTCCAGCAGCCGGCTGTGGGGGGAATTTGCAGCAGCCCTGACAACAAGGGCCTGTCACTTTGCAGGAGGTGCAGAGGGTCTCCCCAACGCAGCAGGTCCAGGAACCTCTCAGGCCAGGCAGTGTCCATCCCTGCTCTGGCCACAGCAAGGACGGTGAAGGTGAGGGGTCCTCGGGGCACCATGTTCTCCCCGCTGTCCCTGCAAAGGCAGAGCTGCTGCCCTGGCTCAGGGGCTGGATGTCTGATAAACCCAGACCCCCAGAGAGATCCAGCTTAGTATTTGGGGGAATCCACAGGATTAGGGGGGAATCAGTGCCTCTGATCCATGTGGAGTCAGGGTGTGTGAGGAGCAGCCCTGTGCCCTGTGCCAGTGTTGTCACCACGGTGCCCCCACCTGTCCCACCTATTCCCATCAGCACCAAGCGGGAGAAGCAATGATTTCACCCTATTTGACTCCAAAAAGCCCTCCAGAGAGCTCCAGTGCTCTGCTGCAGAGCCCTCCAAGAGAAATTAAACCCCCAGGAAAGGTTTGTTTGTCCCCTCCCATCAGGCGTGCAAAGTCCCTTTGTCAGGGCAGGTTCCCTGCAGGCAGTTCCAGACTGGGCACGTGGAGGCTTTTTTGCTCCCACAGCTTTTTTGCAGAGAAGGCATTTCTCCCTTAACTTGCTGTCCTAATTCCCTGCTCTGGTGTGGGGTTGGAGATGCCTCCTGGCAAAATCTGCAGTATTTCTGTACTATTTCCTGATCTCAACTCTTGCCAAGATGTTTGGGGAGGAGGCGGCAGCACCTTGCAGTGGAAGAGGGAGGGTTTCCTGGCGTCCTGGTGTGGGAAATGGGTGTGTGTCCCTGGTAGGAGCTTGGCCCCCAGCACAGTTCAGACCTGACCCTGCCAGGGCAATAGGGACCAGTTGTGTGTTATTGACCCTCTTTAAATGAGTGCCCTAATTGCAGAGTGGCTGGGGTTAGTGGTGCTGTGGGTCTCGCAGCCCGCGGTTAGCAGTGGTGCTGGTAAAAATAGAAGCGGTCAAAAAATGGATTTTTATTTTTATTCCATAAAGTGTGTCCTGCTCAGATGTTTTGCTTTCATCTCGAGATGAGGCAGGGCGACTCACTGCTTCCACAGAACACAGAGGAAAAGCTTTGTTTTGGGTCAGCTGGGAAGCTCCGGCACAGCAAGCTGCAAACATGCTGTTTGACTTTGACACTCTCCCTTCTTATTTTCTTTTCGTAGTTTTTTTGAGGAGTTAAAGGTCACCACAATGTCATCTTGGAGCAAAATAACAAGTTAGCATTACACAAAAAAAAAAAATATTTGTTGAAACAGGCAGTGCATGAGCAGGCACCTCTGTGGGCTGCAGCTTGTGAGTGAGAGTCAGAAGGCATCTCCAGGGATCCTGGGAGACTTAGCTCTCACCTGGGATGGAGCCAAATCCCCCACTGGAGAGCGTACATTCTGTTAACAAGGCAAAAAAATACAGGGCAGAGACCAAGGTTGTTTTGGACACCTCCTTGGCCCATCACTGCTCTGGGTGATGCCTGCAAACACCGTTCTCAGCATCTTTGGTGAGATGATGTCCAAGTGGGCAATGTCCATCAGGAGCCACAGGGTTTGATCCTGGCCCAGACACAGCAGTCAGAGCAGGATTAAAAGCCACCAGCTCAGTCATCCAGCTTGCACATCCCTCTGAGGCAGATCGGTGTCCAAGGGACTCAAAACCTTTCTTAAGAAACACTATTTCTCTACTGACAGTGGCAGTGATGGCTCCCTCATGTGTGCCATGAGCTCCAGTCCATGGTGGGGGGGAGGGACAGAAAGAAACAGCCAAAAATAGAGCAGCTTCGAAGAAGTTCATAAATAATAAGCCAGCTTCCTGAAAGGGAGATAAAAATCCAGAAATTCCCTGAAGCCCTGGGAGCTGCTGTCAATTTTAGATGGAGCCACAGCAGCAGTATCACATATTTTTTGGGCTTAAAACCCTGAATGAGAATTGGCAAAGAAAACACTACTTCCCCCTCATTTTTTGTAAACAAAATGTGAAAACTTAAAAAAAAATATTTTCCAAAATAATTTTCGAAATAACTTTTGCACTGCTTGGTGGGGGATGCATTCTATTTTTTCCCACCTTGAGCTTTGCAGTTCCTAGATGAGGCACAAGTGAGACACGGGCATGCCTCCAAAGTCACAGGTATTTTCATGTCCCTCTCTCTCTGGCATCCCAAAACCTTCCAGTGTTGAGGGTGAGGGCTCATTTGGGCTCAGAGTGCCTGTCTGTATTTCCAGAAGCATCCTGTGCTTTGTGGCTTCACTCAGCTTTGCTGGTTTTGGCCAAGGTCCTTCTGCAAACCCTCCTGTCCCACCATCCCTGGGACAGCCCTGTGCTGCTTCTGGTTCACCTTAAAGCCAAGGAAGAGTTGAGGCAGGGATGAAAGTTTATCCCAAACACAGCCTCATCCCACCACCACCTCTTCCCTGTCTTTATTGCCCAATTTTGGCTGGGCTCAGCTGGCCTTGCATCACAAATACCGTGTGGATGAGAGCTCCATTGCCCTCCTAGGAGTCAGGATCCAGCGCTGGGTGACACAGTTGGCGTGGCTGGAGCTGTCCCCATCCCGTGACTGAGCTCCCTGCTGGCAACTGAGGGCTCTGTGGGAGTTGGCTGTGGGACAAGTTGTTTAACTAAACCTATCGCCTGTTCAGGCTAATCACTTCCTAATGCCTCTATAATCCCATTTAAAGCAACTGGCTGTCTAGAAAGTTACTGGCTCCCAGGGGAAGGGTAGAATGACCCATCTGGCCACAAAAAATGTTCCCCCAACTGCAAGGTCTTGTCCAGTACGTGCTTCAAGATGGATATAAACACAGAATGTTTTGTTGAGCCTGTGCACACGTGCTGCTGTGGGATTACGCATGGCCATCCCTGTAGTGGAGCAACAAAGCTTAGCTGGCATTCAGGAACTCTTTCTGCTTTACTTTTCCTTTCTTGAGGAGAAAGATCTGTTGAGACACAGGATCCACTTGTTCTGGATTGCCATGCCTGTGGCAGGGAGAGGGTTCTGTAATTCATTTTGGATCTTTTTCTTCCTTTTTGTTAAGCAAAAAACCAACCTTATTAGAGGGAGTTTCTGCAACTGGTTTCATTTGTGCCCACAAAGAGGGTTTTTTCCCTCTGGTTTGCCCACAGCCAGCAGGTTTACAGCCCCTGAGCTTGGGGAGGAGGTGGCTGTGTTTGCTGGCACCAGGCAGATATCAGGCAGCTGGTCTGCAGCTTTGCAGCTCCTCTCCCTCCCCTGCTCCTCCTGCAGCTGTGTTTGTTTCTTGCTCTCCCATGTCCTTACTTTACTTTTCTCCCCCGGATCCCGGGCGTTATGCTTGGCAGAGCCCAACCAGGCCGTGGCCAAGGAAAAGCCATTAGGCTCTTGGCACAGCCCACTTCCCGGGGGCCACGCAGCCAGGAGTGGGCTGGAGCTGAAACACAGCCTGGAGCCTTGCTGGATGGAGGAAGGGCCCTTTGGGCCCACTGCTCACTTCCTACAAGGTTAGTTTGTCTTCCAGAAAAGCAGGAAGTTCTTTTCCACCCAGAAACTGCTGTAAAGCTCTGAGCACATGGCAGGAGCCAGCCATTCTATGCTACTCACTGCACTCCTTACACACCCCCCAAAACCAGAAATGAGCCACTTGTACCCCAGCCCTGTTTGGCTCTCTGTGAGCTGTGGAGAAGCAGGGATTTACTCACTTTCACTGCAAAGCATCACCCAAGTGGAGCAGTTGGGACATGCTTGGGACAAGAAGGGGATGTTGCTGCAGATGAATTAAATCTGCCAGGGAGGCAGTATGATTAAAATTAGGATTGGCTGCATGGAATTCATTACGTAGTGTCTTTTATAGCTCTCAGTTATCCCTTTCTCTTAAAGACACTGTGGGCTGATCTGGCTCCTGTTCAGCCTCCTACTGCCACTCAGTCTCCACTCCTGCCTCACTGAAAGTCTTCCCAACAACAAAAAACCATTAAATATGGGAATGATTTAGTCCTTGTTGCCCTAAGGTTGTTCCCAGGGTAGGGCTCAGGCTGTTATCTGCATGTGTTGTCTTGCCCAGAGTAACTGGAGATGATGTCTGCCGCTTGGAACACAGCACCTGGCACGTCACAGATGGGCAGAGGAGGCCGGGGGGAGCAAGTGGATGACATGCTGTCCCTTGATTCCAAGGTTCTCTCAGACTATTTATATCCTCTTCTTTTTCAGAGATGGGTGTTCTGGGACACGGTGGAGGTGGGAGCTCTCCTAACAATCCGATGTCTTCTCCTGAGAGCGCCAGGCGTGCTTACTTCCCACTCCACTGGAGAAAGCTCTAAGGAAAGTCCAGCACCATGTACACCTTCCTGCCAGAGAGCTTCACACCGGTGAAGCAGAAGCCCTCCAAGGAGCTGAGGCCCATGCTGGGCGCCGTCTTGCTGGGCCTCATGCTGTTCATTTCTGCGGTGGTGGCCTGGTGCTACTACACGGTGTCCCTGAGGAAGGCGGAGCGGCTCAAGACGGAGCTGATGGACCTGCGGGCGGACGGCTTTGTCATCCGCAACCAGCACGGGGAGGTGGTGTTCCGGCTGGCCTTCCGCTCGGGCAGCCTGGACCTGGAGTCGTGCTCCAAGGAGGGCAAGATCCTGAGCTGCTCGCGCTCGAGCCGGGGGCCGCTCAACTTCTTCATCCAGACGGTGAAGCCCAAGGACACGGTGATGTGCTACCGCGTGCGCTGGGAGGAGCTGGCGGCCGGCCCGGCCGTGGAGCACACCATGTTCTGGGAGGACGCCCACTGGTACGGGGGCTCAGAGATGAGCATCCAGCACTGGCCCATCCGCCTGGCCGGCTACCAGGAGCCCGTGCCCTACGTGACCAGCGACGTCTACTCCTTCCGCGACAGCTTTGGCGGCATCCTCGAGCGCTACTGGCTCTCCTCCAAGGCGGCGGCCATCAAGATCAACGACTCCGTGCCCTTCCACCTGGGCTTCAACGCCACCGAGCGCGCCCTCTTCTTCCAGGCCCGCTACAAGGACTCACCCTACAAGCCCCCACCGGGCCAGCAGCCCTTCCCCGAGCTCAGCTACCGTGTCTGCGTGGGCTCCGACATCACCTCCATCCACAAGTACATGGTGCGCAGGTACTTCAACAAACCCTCCAAGATCCCTGCTGAGAACGCCTTCCGATACCCCATATGGTCCACATGGGCTCTCTACAAGAATGATATTGACCAAGATAAACTCCTGCGGTTTGCTGAAAAGATCAAAAAATACCATTTTAACTGCAGCCACATTGAGATTGATGACATGTACACCCAAGCCTATGGAGACTTTGACTTCGACCCTGTCAAGTTCCCCAACGTAACAGAGATGTTTGCAAAGCTGAGGGAAGATGGGTTTAAGGTCACTCTGTGGACTCACCCTTTCATAAACTACAATTCCTCCAATTTTGGTGTGGGAATTGAGCGTCAGCTGTTCATCAAGGAGCCATCAGGGCGGCTGCCAGCCATGGTGGAGTGGTGGAACGGTATCGGGGCCATCCTGGACTTCACCAACCCAGCAGCCCGTGACTGGTTCCAGAGCCACCTGCGCCAGCTCCGGCACAAGTACGGCATCTCATCCTTCAAGTTTGACGCGGGCGAGACCAGCTACCTGCCCAAGCAGTTCAGCACCTTCCGCCCGCTGTCGGACCCCAGCATCTGGTCCCGGCGCTACACGGAGATGGCCATTCCCTTCTACGAGCTGGCCGAGGTGCGGGTGGGCTACCAGTCGCAGAACATCTCCTGCTTCTTCCGCATCATTGACCGTGACTCTGTCTGGGGCTACGAGCTTGGCCTCAAGTCCCTCATCCCCACCGTCCTCACCATCAGCATGCTGGGGTACCCCTTCATATCTGCTGACATGATAGGGGGAAATTTTTTCCCCAATAAAACCAATGGTGCTGTGGAGATCCCCAACCGGGAGCTGTACGTGCGCTGGCTGGAGCTGTCGGCCTTCATGCCCTCCATGCAGTTCTCCATCCCGCCCTGGCTCTACGACAAGGAGGTGGTGGAGATCGCGCAGAAGTTCACGCAGCTCCACGAGTCCCTGGTGGCCCCGCTGCTGCTGGAGCTGGCGGGGGAGGTCACCGACACGGGCGACCCCATCATCCGTCCCATCTGGTGGATCTCGCCCCGCGACGAGGCCACTCACCGCATCGACTCCCAGTTCCTCATTGGGGACACCCTCATGGTGGCTCCTGTGCTGGAGATGGGCAAGCAGGAGCGGGATGTCTACCTGCCCGCGGGCAAGTGGCGCAGCTACAAGGGAGAGCTGTTTGAGAAGACCCCAGTGCTGCTCACCGACTATCCTGTTGACTTGGACGAAGTTGCCTATTTCCTCTGGGTTTCCTAACAGGCTTCTTAATCAGCTTTGGAATAACCATGCCTTACCTAGGACTTTCTAACAAATAATAACTCTAATTGCACATTTCATTTGAGACTGGGGTGGAGGAAGGGAACTAAATAGACTTCACTCTTCTTGGGGATAATTTTTTTTTTTTTATTTGGGGAATTGATCTGGATTTTTTTAATTTGGGTCTGGTGGTAGGCTCTGATTGGATTACAATAGGCAGCAATTTATCTGTATAGGTCAGAACAGAGTTGTCAGTCTGTCTGCAGATATGTGGTAAACCCAATACCTGTTCTGTTCTCAAGGATTTCAAGAGTTGGAAGTTGCTTAGTGCCAGTGAGAGCATTCCTAGTCTTGTGGGAGCACCTGGCACTGGGTATAAGGGTGTGTGCTGTGGGAGGATTGCTACAGCACAGCCTGCCATTAGTTTTTTAATATGGCAAATATATTCAAATGAATATTTTTAAGTGCATAAAGCAAAATAGAGTTACATAGATATATATATATATATATATATACACACACACACACACACACCCCTATTTTTCCCCCTTTTGCCTGGATGGCACTGGACTAACAGTTGCCCCATGCTCCTGCTTTCCTGGGTACCAGGCAGGCCAGGTCACTCAAGTGATGTCCACCTGTTTTAACTGAATAGGTTGCTTATTTCCTGCTGGGACAGCTGCATCCCACCTGCTCACCCATTTGACTTCCTCTGCAAGGCTCTTGCCTGTGTGTTTTGCCCGGGGCGTCAACATTGCCTTTCCTTGAGCAGCACCGCCTGTACCAGCATGTCCCATTTTTTAAGGCACTTATGACCCCACCTCGTTACATGATTATCCTGCTGATGCCATCCTTTTTGGTTTTTAAGGACAGATGAGATTTGTTGCTGGCAGAAGGGCTGCCTGGAGCAAAGCTGTCCTCAGACACTCGGTGCGGCGCGTCCCTGGGAACAGCCGGTTCCTGTGAACGGCACGTGTCGTGGATTGACAGTGCCGTTTGCCGACAGCCTGGGGGTGGAAAACACCCGCTCTGCTCACTGATGGGTCTGTGCCAGCGGCTGTTCTCACTGCACCCATGGAGAAGTTCTCATCTAACGTGAAGTTAAGCTAATGCCCATCTCAGGTCCCAGTTAGAGGTGATGATTTTGTTGGGGGTTTTCCTGAGTCAGCCCTCCTCTCTCACTGGGAGAGTCCCGGGGAGCTTTCTCAGGCAGTGTTGGTGTTGCTGGAGGTGGGACTGCTGTCAGAGGCTCGTGGAGGGCACATGGGGTGATGTCATCCTGCACCCCAAGTCCCCAGCAGCTGCATCTTTGGCAGATTTTTCATTTGGTTTTGTATGGGAAAATGCATTTACAGAGACCCAAGGCAGGGCCAACAGGATTGAAGTCTTCCCAAATGCAAGAATTCCCAGCTCTGTCCCAGGTGGGAACATGTGTCAACCCCTGAATTTTTGATAAGCTTCTGCAGAATTGAATTGAATTGTGATGGCTAGAAAGGGTTGGGCATCTTGCCCAGGCTACAGCTGGCCAAGGACAGCTCAGGATCTGTGGGGCTTCTCCTGGAATTGTGTCTGGGCTGGGCATGGCTCTGGCGCAAGTCGGCCATGCAGAGTTGGTACATGTTTTTGGTAGGGCTGGGTACCTATCCAGTGAGGATCTTTCTCAAAGCCCATCTCCAGCCACAGAGCTTTTCAGGAGGCAGAAAAGGAGATGCAATAAGCTTGAGGGTTGTGATGAGGTGAAGGAGGAGAAATTTCAGTGTTAGGGGCAAAATCTGAAGTGCTTTTGTAGTTAGGAAGTGAGGAAGTCTGGTTTGATGGACTCCCTTAAGACCTGAATTTGCCCTGTATAATTTACTCTCAAAATGAGATGTAGGGGAGCCTTACAGGTCCCTGCCCAGCTGGAGCACAAGTGTTTCCTGAAGCCTGTTTGTTTATCAGGTTTTTAATTCTGAAGGGTTCAAGCTTCTTCTCTGCTACTGGTGCAGATACTGGTGATGTTACAAGTTACAGACACCCTCTGGCAAGGAATTAATCCTGGAACCTCAGTGTCACTCATCAGGGCACTGGCAGGACTTGGCCCTTGCTTGCCAAGGGTGATGTTGAAGGGGAGGAGATGAGTCTGGCCAAAGCCTTTAAGAAGGGCCAAGTGTGGAGGGAGCTTCTGCAGCCCTAGAAGTGCATGAAGACCGTACTTTGAGGGTCTCCAGCTCTTCCCTTTCAACCTTTGCTCATGAAATGCTTGTCATCCCTTGGTATGGGACTCATTATGATGCCTTAAGAGGCTACCTGGAACAGAGGCTAGACAGTATTAAAGGAATAGTTATTTATTAGAAAGGCCTTCAAAGGATGCACTTTGGGCAGTACAAGGGTCTGGCCGTGGCTCCACCCAAGACGGATGATGAGTCACGAGTTTTCACATTTTTTAAGTTTTGGTCCATTTCCATATTGGGGTTAATTGTTCAATTACAGCTTCAGGTTATGAAGTCCCATCCTCCCAGATTGCTCTCCTCAATTCTCTGTTTATACTTTTTGGGCCTGAAGCTGCAACGGTGTCCTTGATTCTCAGGCTGGAAAAGGATTGTTTTGTCTAACTAAACTGCGAGGAGAACTTGCTAACACTTTATATGAAGTTCAGAGTTATATACTAATGCAGTACGGAATCTGGAAAATATGAAAGCTAAAACTTAAGGCATCAGTTAGGTGGAGATGTTGCACAGCTCAGCTGCCAGTGCAGAACTGGGATCCCTGGCACAGGACTTCATGGGAAGGATCCTGGCATGACCATGAGATACTGTCATCTCTCCCCCTGGTTCTGTGCCACTCACCATATGCATCACTCATGAGGAATGAGGCTGTGTGAAGAGAAACACAGCATTCCTGTTATTATCCTTCTACTGTTAAAATGATGGGAGCAGCCAGATGAGTGCCTTCAATCTCCTTGCAGTGGTTTCAGGACTGTCAGGAAGGTCATGGAGGAAATTCTCCACGAGACACACTGTCTTCTTTCCCCTCCCCTGAAAAAGAAACGATTTTATTTACAAAGTTATAATTTTATTTTATTTAACTATATCAATGAATGGGTAAGTGGTCTAGCAAGAAGAAAGATAAAGCTGCTGAGAGGACTATGAGCTGATGGGTATAGGCTCAGCAGTGCTGCCTTAAGCTGTCTCACAGGCTTCTAGATGGCCTTTCCATCCAACTTTTTACCAAAACCACTATTTCTAGCATGATGCTGTAGCACTGCAGGACTTGAGGATTTCTCAGACCTTGCAGACCAGCAGCTCTGCACAGATACCTTGGGAGCTGCTGCTAGGGATACTTCTCTGATTTACACCATGGGTCACTGGCCAAAGCTGGGTTTAGCTTGTTTCAGCCAAGAAAAAGCCCCAGACAAGGTTTGGGAGTTGGGTTCAGTCTTTTCACACCTGATGCTTATGTGATTGAATTTTGAAGCTTGCACTGTTGTGAATCAGGTTTTCTGGATGCTTGTGTTTGTACATGCTGTCCTCTGTCAGACTGTAATGCTGGTGGGTCTGTTTTTAACCACTTTTCTAATTGCTAATTGGTATGAACTGTAACATGAATCACCTTGATTGAGATAAAATTTTGGAAAACGAAAAGAAGGTTAACTATGTCCATCTGTACCAAGTTGGTGGGGCTGGTGGTTTAGGGAGATTTGGGGCTTTTCTCACCAAGTCTTCACTGAAATCAGGGTGGAGATTGTTGTTTTATTTAAAGCTTGCAGCCTGCAGCTTTTATGTATGTTTTAAAAGGAGAAGCTGGCAGTAACCTCACTCTTGTGTTTGCAGTGGTGGCAGACAATCCCTCTGGACTGAGGATTGTCCTCCCTTAGGTCCTGACAGCAAAGAGACTAGCTGTGCCTTAGGGCCAGCCATGAAAAGGCCATGTCCAGGTGAACCCCAGTGTTGTGTCAGCCCCCAGGAGTGGGAACCATACACACCTCCAGGGTCATGGCCCTATTTCTACTAACATTCATCCCAAAAAAGGTTTATCAACACTGAGTCTGGGGATTTGCTAGTCCTTGCTGCTCCAAGAGGACACACACTTGAAGACTGTTTGTGGGGGATGAGAAAGGGGCGCCTGTTCTCAGCTTCCCTTGGGCTCACCAGAAGGTCCTTCTGACTGTCCCCACCGTCCCCATGGTTCCCCTTTCCAGGTGGCACTGACAGCAAGGACATGGATGGAATAGATGTTTGTGGCTATGGGAGGGCCATGAAGGGAGCATGTGAGACTCATTTAGGAGCCTGCCTTACTCCACATCACCCCCTTTGCCCCAAATAATGTTTTTCCTTCCCTTTCCATTGTTACCACACAAACCATAGCTGCCTTATGCCATTGGGCATCACTAGCAGTGGCCAACCTGTACAGTGTGGCTTGAGGGTTGAGAGGGACTTCATTTCACTCCTTTTGTAATAAAAGACATTTTCCCAATGCTTTTCCTTTGACTTCTTCCTTGGGTGCAAGTGCCATCCATACACTTGGCTGATGATCACGTGAGAGATGAAGCTGGCACTGCTGAAGACCTTCTTAGAGCACTCACAGCCTCGCAGAGATCCTCAGTGATACAGAGGTCCTCCTAGGAATCAGTGCTTTGGGTTTGAGTTTGGTTTACGTCCTCACAAAACCTGGTGCAGTGTGTAGACAGCGTGTCTGAGGCTCACCAGGGACATGGGAACAGTGAGTGGGGTCAGCTCTGTGCTGGGTGTCAGCTGCATGGCAGTGCTTGAAAACACATCCACAGCTGTGCATTGCACAGGGAGGAGCGTTAGTGGCAAAATCCAAACCCCAGGGGAGCTACAGCAGCAGCCCAATTTGTTGCAAACTGGATTTCAAGGAGGTGCTATGGGTGTTAGCAGAGCAGTGGCCGCTGGCCCAGGAGACCCGAGCTGTGAGCGTGTCACGCCTGCCTAAAGCACAGCTGTGATTAAAAGTAAGAAAAAGCCAACAGGCAGGCAGAGCCTGAGGCTGGGGGTGGCTGTGGTGGAAGGACAAACCGACAGCAGCAGAGTTAATTTGGGCACATGGCCAGGCTGGTAGCCTCAGGAAAAAGTACAAAGTTCTCAATCTGGGCGGGAGCTGCCAGCCTGCAGATTCCTTGTGCCAGGAGAGCCATGAAGATGGTTGTGCTGACACAAAATCCCAGAGGCCAAGTAGAGAAAAACAGATTTTTATTTGTTTGGGTTTTTTATTTTGCCTGTAGGGCTGGGTGTTTTTTAGCTCAGCAGTTATCAAAGAGGGCAGTAAACTTCCCCTGCCAAAAAACAGGCAGCCTGTGGTGAGCCAGGTTCTGTAGGAGAGTCTCATGTCACCAACACATCCAGCAAGGAGCTTGTGCACAGCACTAGGAGTGTAAAAAATCAGCTAGGACTGAAGCTTAGAAAGGCAAACAAGATGTGCCTCCAACAGCACACAGACCCTGTGTGGCAGGAGGGCATGGAGGGGTGTCTGTGGTGCCACCTGCTCACAGGATGCCTCCAGCACCTGTGCCCTGTGGCTTCCTGTGGCTCAGCTGGGCAACAGGGAAAGGCATTGAGGGACAGACTGGAAAGGGACGGGGGAGACATTTTTGCAGCCATGGGACCAGGCATTCCATATCACCCCCAGAGTTTGGAGGAAGTCTCAGTGTTGCCTGTTTTTTTTTCCCCATCAGCCTGTGGTGCAGGTGGATGGCAGAGCTGTGTGTCCATGCAGAGCACGTTGATCACAGGGGCAGAGGTACGATATGAGGGTGGTGGAGTCTGGCTCTCTCCTCTCTCAGCACTGTGGGCTTGGGCTTTGCAGAAAACTTTTTTTCAGTGCAGGAGGAATTTTGCACTAAATTTTGCTCTGTTTCCCCCAAGACCAGGTGTGGGGGGCCATTTGGAGCTTTGAAGCAGCAACTGTAGAAACACTTTCCCAGCCTTGGGGGAGATGTTTCATTAGAAACTACTATTCTGGCATGAGAGAAAGCCCGTGGTAAGGATTCAGTGGTGTCCTGTTAACCCTGAGCACAACTGCCAGACTGAACATTGTTTTCCCTTTCACATCCCTGCATTAAGGATGGTTTTCCCTCTCCACTGCCACACCACTGACAGCATTACTGTGATTCCAGCTGCTTTCAGGGGCATTTAAAATATGTTCTGGCTCATCCCGTTTGGCACTGCTGTTGTGTCCATGCAGGGTCCTTCGTGACACAATGGACCGACTGACGGGTAACAGGTTTGAGCCAGTTTTGGATCTGCTTCCTCTGGGCACCAAGCAAGCTCTCGACTGAGTACAGTGTTCCCCAGACCCATTTTGTTTACTTTTTGTATGGAGCAGCTCTGGGGCAAACCCCTAAAAAAAGGAGCTTTCTCTTGCGCTGGGGTCACACACAGCTTTACCTCCCAGGTGCCCATTGGAAGTGTGCTGGAGCCAGCAAAGTGATCTGCCTCTCACTTTGGGAAGGGACATTGCAGCCCAGAGACCCTCGGACTCTCTTAAACTGCCCAGTCATCTCAACCTAAAATTTCTTTTTGCTTAAAAACAGCAGGAAACATTGGAACAAGAGAGGAGAGTGTTTCACAGCCAGCCTGGTTACCCCAAGCCTTCAGGAGCTGCTGGGACACCTTCATTCTGGAGAACGGTCGCCTCTATGGGCAGAAGGACACAGAAGGATCCACCTGTCATGGATAGGGATCTCCATTATCATAGGATGGGAAAACATTCTCACTGGGGAAATTGAGGCAGCTTGGTACTCAGGCTGGTTTGTTAATTTTCTGAGCTCTCTCAAGAGGCTAAATTCTCTCCTGGCACCTGGCAGGTTACACCTTTGTCCTAAATACGGTCCTAAAACACACATGGATCCTACTAAGTATAAACCCCTGCATGACTTCGTACTAGGATTTAATCTTGACTGCAGTGAGATATCACCACATTTTATAGGCTTACGTGGATGCACACCATAGACATGGTTCTCAGTAATTTATAAAAGGTGGAAAACAGCTGCCACAGCTCTAGCAAGTGCTGTAGCTTTCTTGCTGCTCAGATAGCTCAGGCCATGGGAAATGCAAACTCCTAAGTCCTGCATCAGCTCCCATCTCATATGCAGGCTGCAAATTGGGTGCCTTCCTCTTCACGAAAACCACAGACAGCTTTCTGTAAAAAAAAGTACTTTGCTGCAGCTGCCTCCTTCAGTAAGCACATGAAATTTTCAATGTCCCAGGGGATCATCAGTGAAACTGGGTAACAAAGGAGACCATATAATTGCCTTTAGACAGAAGAAGCATGCATGGCACTTCTTGGTGGAAAAAGATTATGAGCAGAGGCTGTGTTTCTGTACATTACACTTGTCACAATGCAGCAACAAAGACACCCATCCAATACATTTTAATAAGTTATTGTAGAACAATTGCCACACACAACAGAGGTCTCAGTGTCTCCTTGAAATTCCACTCTGAAATATTGCTACATTAAAAATTATTAAAAATCCCAGGTCATTAAATCCACTAGTAAACTAATCACTGAGTCCATGGCACAGTTGAAGAGGGGCCTGTTAGGAAACCCAGAGGAAATAGGCAACTTCGTCCAAGTCAACAGGATAGTCGGTGAGCAGCACTGGGGTCTTCTCAAACAGCTCTCCCTTGTAGCTGCGCCACTTGCCCGCGGGCAGGTAGACATCCCGCTCCTGCTTGCCCATCTCCAGCACAGGAGCCACCATGAGGGTGTCCCCAATGAGGAACTGGGAGTCGATGCGGTGAGTGGCCTCGTCGCGGGGCGAGATCCACCAGATGGGACGGATGATGGGGTCGCCCGTGTCGGTGACCTCCCCCGCCAGCTCCAGCAGCAGCGGGGCCACCAGGGACTCGTGGAGCTGCGTGAACTTCTGCGCGATCTCCACCACCTCCTTGTCGTAGAGCCAGGGCGGGATGGAGAACTGCATGGAGGGCATGAAGGCCGACAGCTCCAGCCAGCGCACGTACAGCTCCCGGTTGGGGATCTCCACTGCCCCCTCTGTCTTGTTGGGGAGGAAGTTTCCTCCAATCATATCTGGCAGTACAAATGGGTACCCCAGCATGCTGATGGTGAGGACGGTGGGGATGAGGGACTTGAGGCCAAGCTCGTAGCCCCAGACAGAGTCACGGTCAATGATGCGGAAGAAGCAGGAGATGTTCTGCGACTGGTAGCCCACCCGCACCTCGGCCAGCTCGTAGAAGGGAATGGCCATCTCCGTGTAGCGCCGGGACCAGATGCTGGGGTCCGACAGCGGGCGGAAGGTGCTGAACTGCTTGGGCAGGTAGCTGGTCTCGCCCGCGTCAAACTTGAAGGATGAGATGCCGTACTTGTGCCGGAGCTGGCGCAGGTGGCTCTGGAACCAGTCACGGGCTGCTGGGTTGGTGAAGTCCAGGATGGCCCCGATACCGTTCCACCACTCCACCATGGCTGGCAGCCGCCCTGATGGCTCCTTGATGAACAGCTGACGCTCAATTCCCACTTCATAATTAGGTGAATCTATGTGTGTAAATGGATGAATCCACAGAGTGACCTTAAACCCGTCTTTCCTCAGCTTTGCAAACATCTCTGTTACGTTGGGGAACTTGACAGGGTCGAAGTCAAAGTCTCCATAGGCTTGGGTGTACATGTCATCAATCTCAATGTGGCTGCAGTTAAAATGGTATTTTTTGATCTTTTCAGCAAACCGCAGGAGTTTATCTTGGTCAATATCATTCTTGTAGAGAGCCCATGTGGACCATATGGGGTATCGGAAGGCGTTCTCAGCAGGGATCTTGGAGGGTTTGTTGAAGTACCTGCGCACCATGTACTTGTGGATGGAGGTGATGTCGGAGCCCACGCAGACACGGTAGCTGAGCTCGGGGAAGGGCTGCTGGCCCGGTGGGGGCTTGTAGGGTGAGTCCTTGTAGCGGGCCTGGAAGAAGAGGGCGCGCTCGGTGGCGTTGAAGCCCAGGTGGAAGGGCACGGAGTCGTTGATCTTGATGGCCGCCGCCTTGGAGGAGAGCCAGTAGCGCTCGAGGATGCCGCCAAAGCTGTCGCGGAAGGAGTAGACGTCGCTGGTCACGTAGGGCACGGGCTCCTGGTAGCCGGCCAGGCGGATGGGCCAGTGCTGGATGCTCATCTCTGAGCCCCCGTACCAGTGGGCGTCCTCCCAGAACATGGTGTGCTCCACGGCCGGGCCGGCCGCCAGCTCCTCCCAGCGCACGCGGTAGCACATCACCGTGTCCTTGGGCTTCACCGTCTGGATGAAGAAGTTGAGCGGCCCCCGGCTCGAGCGCGAGCAGCTCAGGATCTTGCCCTCCTTGGAGCACGACTCCAGGTCCAGGCTGCCCGAGCGGAAGGCCAGCCGGAACACCACCTCCCCGTGCTGGTTGCGGATGACAAAGCCGTCCGCCCGCAGGTCCATCAGCTCCGTCTTGAGCCGCTCCGCCTTCCTCAGGGACACCGTGTAGTAGCACCAGGCCACCACCGCAGAAATGAACAGCATGAGGCCCAGCAAGACGGCGCCCAGCATGGGCCTCAGCTCCTTGGAGGGCTTCACTGGTGTTACATTTTCAGTCAAGTGCTCTTCTTTGGCATCCTCCTTTGGAAAGTTTCCATGTTTTCCTGAGCGGTGGGTAATCCGAGTGTCCATTATTCCTTTGCAGCCTCAACACCTGGTTAGCACCTTTGCTGCTGAATTCTTTTACTCCAGCTGGTGAAGAGAAAGTCCACAATCCTGCATGAAGCTATTCACAATATCCTTTCCAAAGCTTGGCTGCTCACACCTGCAATGGTTTTTCATAAAACAGAGGGTTATAAACACCAAAAGTACCCAATTAAATCCTGCTGAGGGCCACAGCTCCTCTGCTCTGTCCGCAGCCCAGCCTCCCTGCCCTCTGGCTCTGGCTCACTTTGCTCTGCAATGGCATTCTGCTCACTGGCAGCTGTGTTGAGCTTTTTTGGAGCCTGTCTGTGCCAGGATTCCTATGACCCTCTCTTGGTTGCAGCCTCACTCTGTCCCACAGAGCAAGGATGAAGGGATGAAAGTCAGGCTAGAGCCTGGAGGAGAATGAGGCCAGGGGAAGGGGCTGGTGCCTGAGCATACAACTTGGACATCACAGGCTGATCTGTGTTTACATTAATTATGAGCCCTGCTGGATTTCCTCTCCTGCCCACAATCTCCCTCCATTAAACACAGGCAAAGAAATGCTGCACTGAAGTTTCCAGCCTCCACCTGCTGCTCTTCACACACTCCCAGGGATGCAGCTGGCAAAAGATGTTTTATCTCCCTGCACTTTGCTCCTTCCCTGAACTGCATGGGGATGTGGGGGTGTGGGGATGTGCTTCCCTTCAACGGCCTGCCATGCTACCTATTCCAAAGCCATCCCCCAGGAAAGCCTCTCTGTTCCTTGCAGAGGGAAAAAATGAATCTTCCACTACATCTCTGTCTCTGTTTTTTTTTTTTTTTTTAATTATCATTCAGTTCTCCTAATTTATTACAGCTCGGTAGCTCCTGGGCTTATGCCAGGCAAGATGCTATACTGCAGTGGGGCTGGAGGATGTTTTGGTACAGAGTATGAGGATAGGTGTAGTTGTTGCAAGGCCAGGACTACATCAAAACCTTGTTTTGCTGAGAAATGCACAGAAGGTGATGTGTTCCAGCCGCATCAAGCATCACCACGCCAGCTAATGCAGCACAGCTGGGCGTGTACTGCCAACAAAAACACAGGCAGCACAATCTGAGGCTGGTGGCTCGAGGCAATGCATTCTGTGCAACCAGGTTTTTGTCTGCCCTGGCCCCTTCCTGGGATCTGTGTGATCTGACAGGATGAAAACTTGCAGGAGCAGCCTATATGGAGAGAGGGAAAAGGAGCCAGCTTGCTCCTCTGATCTGTGCCCAGCAATAAATGGCTGGGTGTATTTACCCGTGTCGCTATGACATCGGTATCTAAATATACAGAGATGATAAGCCACCCAGGGAGCCATTAAAAATGCCAGAGGTCACCACATTTTGGATCGATCACAGCAGATCCCAAACCACCCAAATTAACTGCCTGGTTAGTTTTTGAAGTGCATTCTTGGGATGAGTGAGACTTAGTCGAGAAAAAGAGCTGGACTGGATAAAAGTGTTCTCAGGCAAGCCCTGGTCAGAGGAGAAGGATAAAAAAAGGAAGGTTATTGCTGCCCCAAAGAGATGGTGATGCAGGACATGGGTGGTTTTGGGGAGCAGGTTGGATTACACATGCTCGGGGCACGCTGCCAGCCCCGAAGTGCTCAGGCCTGGCAGCCTCCCAGTGCTGGCCTGGCTCCTGACACGGCTCTGCAGCTCCGGCCCGAGTGGTTTCCAGTGAAACCCTTGTGTTTTTGCAAAACAACATTTTCACTTTGAAGGTGTTATTGTGCGCTGGGTTAGTCCTCAGTTGCTGCCTTTGGAGCTTTCTTCCTCTTCTTCCTTCCTCCTTTCACCATCCTAGCCAGCCTGGAGACAGGACTTTCCTTTAAGACAAGTTGCACCACTTTCCAGAGTGAAAAAATAAGGAATCAAAAGAGAAGGTTTTCTTCTTTCTTTTTTTCTTCTTTCCTTTTTCTTCTACCTTTTTTCCTTTTTCTCTTTTTTCTCTTTCTTTTTTTTTTTTTTTTTATATTTTATTTTTAGTGTTAAGCAACACATTAAAAACCCCAGAACACATGGACATCATGACTCAAAAATCTGTCCAAGAATAAAGGATGTGAGGGAAGTTTCCAAGCTTTCTATGCAGTGATTTCACTCCCAGAGAGTTGCTTTAAATCTCTTGATTTCCCCAGGAGCAGAAGATCAGGGGCAGAAAGATCATGTGCAAGCAAGCTGGAACTATTGAGCCAAGCCATCCTGTCTCCAGGGGTTTTTGGGTTTTCCTCACTCCTATGATGTCATGTAGATACCCCAGCCCTTCCCCTCACAGAGAAGAGGTGAGATGTGAGTGGTCAGTGGGGAGAGCAGGCACTGGCACTTCTGGAGGCAGCACAGGATGAAATTGGGAATCCTAGCATAGATATCACCAGGGTAAAAGAGTTTCTGAAGCTGCACTCCCATCCTTTAAAGCTTATGTCTCCAGAAAGCATTAAACATCTGCTGGCCTAGCTGTCAGCCTGAGTGATGCCCAGGGGTGATGAGAAGAACTTTTGCTAAGGGGTGCACAGAGGTTACCAGAGCCCAGATCCAGCCCTATCCTTGCTCCATCCATGGGGTTACCACAGAGATAACCCCAGAGATGTGGGGCATCACAGAGACCCTTACCTGTTTATATTTAACTGGTCCTTGCAGAGCCTCTCTGCTCTGGTGAGTGCTTTATTAACCCCCCCAGAGTGCAAGTGCTCCCAAGCCAGGATGTGCTGAATTCTCCCACAGTTCCCTAGAAGCCAGATGTCCCCTGGATACCAGCACTGTTGTGTTATATTTGGGCTGCTTTATCAGGTGCTAATCAGGTGTGGATCTGGGCCTGTCTGTCGCCCAGGCTGAAAGAAGCCAGGATTCCTCACCCCAAGGATCTTAGCAGCACTTAGCAAGCACAGATTAAACATTGACATAACTGTGATAAGCTGAAAATGAGCCGGGACTTTAGACCCTCTTACAGCTAAACAGGAGCTTCAAGGGTTTCAAGTGGCGAAACACAAATCAGCCAGCTCGAAGGGCAGCCTCACACCTAAACCCTTAGTGCACCTACCCTCAGAGTCTCCTTCCCCCAGACCAAATTTATCCCCAGAACCTCCCCCAGTCTCTTGGTACCTGTGTCACAAAGTTTGTCAGGCGTCTATCCAGGTTACAGCTATGTGATTCCTGAATCATCAGATTTTCAGCATTCTAAGACTCTGAAGCTGCCTCAGTTGATGCTAAGAACAAGGTCATGGTTTTGATCCCTGCATGGGCCTTTCACTGAAGAATTGGACTAAAGGATGATCCTGTGGGTCCCCTCCAACTTAGAATGTTCTGTGATCCTGCATATGTTTACCTTCCTGGTGGTTCAGGGAGAGCATCACTCTTTAAAAAACCCATCAGGAAACAATTCTTCCTTTAAACAGAATGGCAGTTTTCTATATTGAAGTTCTTTTTACAGGTTATCAAACACTTAGTCACTGTCAGGTGCTTTTAGGGAGATTATACAACATGTCCTAGTAGAAAGAGCCATAGGTAGCTAAACATAATAAGCCATAAACAAACTACTGCCTTGTCAAATGCTGCAAGAACTGATTAATCATTTACCAAGCCCTTTTATACTGTTTAAAATGGGCCTTTTTAGCAGAAAAGTCATGCAAAGTAGAAAGTAGTTCCCATTAGCTCTCATTTCTCGCAGCAGCTTGACAAATTTGGGTGGTGTATGCCAGATTTATTGACAATAAAGGGACCCAGGGGAGGTTTGCTCACCATTTTTTCTGTGCATGTAGATGGTGTGAGAAAAGAGGTATCTGCTGCCTCTGCAGCTGAGGAGGGAGAGCCAAGGTTATTGCATGAGCTGCCACAGATTAGCTACAAGCCCGACAAGGCTTAACACAAGGTGGAAGTGGCTGGGGGTGGCTGCAGAGGGTGAAGTGACATTGCTCTGCAGTCCATGTGGTGCAGGTAGGGACAACAAAATCTCTGCCAGCAGCACACAGCACTTACAGAACACCTGCAGCAGCACGAGGAGGTGGAGAGAAAGGACACGGACAGAGTCTGTCCCTCAGAGTGGTGCAGGATCCTGCTCCACCTGGAAATACACTCATTTGTGTCCTGAAGCAGGGAGGATACCACCCCTAATGCTGAGTGCACCCCTCACCCCAGGTCTGGGCTTTTAGAAATGCCTGATAGCTCCAGTGATGGATGGGGATGATTGGCCTCACTGCTTCAGCCCTTGGCCCATGGGGATCTCACCCAGCTCCCTGGGCTGGAGCAGCAGTTTGGTTCATATTTACCCCATGCCAGCCACAGAGTCGGACCAGCTGGGAGCCCTGTGGCTGTACCCTGCACATGGAGAGACCTTCACCAGCTCACACCACCAGACAACTCCGAGCAGGCCTGCTTCTGGAAACCATCCTGATTTGGGGGACTCTGCCCTGCTCCCATGGTTCCTGATGCCCGGAGAGTTTTTGTCTCACCTCAGCATGAAGGTGGCTGCACAGACACTGCTGGTTTCTGCCTGTACAGAGTGCTGCTGCAAAGCTGATTACCCTGTGCAAGCCTGACAGTGTCATAAGCCCCCTGGAACCTTGCAAAACCAGCTCAGGTCTAGAAGCAGTAATATTACCTGAGGTTTTTCCTAATCCAGAGGATTCCAGTTCCTCAGTACTGGGGAAAAAGGGTAAAGTTTACTGCACAGGTCTTTCATTCCTAATTGCTATAGGAACAGGAACTGGAACATCCATTCCTGTCTTCTTATTCAGACTCCTCTTCCAAAGCCAGCAGAAAGAAAGCCTTGCAAAATCAACTTTTTTCCCTGTTTCAGATCTCTCTCTGACTCCTCAAGATGCACACAGTGTCCGTGTGCTGCTCCAAGCTGCCAGTAGTGGCCACAGCATCCCACTGCAATCTGGGAGCTGCTCTGCTCATATCCTTGGGAAGGAGCTCCATCTGCCGAGCCAGTGGCCCAGGCTGAAACCCAGACTTGTCCCTGTGGGCTGTGGGGTGACTGGTCATCAGGCATCTCCTGGGTAGCACCGAGCTCATCAGACCCTATTTACCAGGGTCAGTGCTCATGAAGGGCTCCAGAGGGATTTTGAGGTGCCTCCCTCTCAAACAAACCAAACAAGGAGGGATAAGCAAAGCACAGGT